GCTTTATATGCACTCACCATCATGTACAAAAGCCACAGCTCCTCTTAACAGACCATAGTCAATCAACTCGACTGTAATACAAACCAATCAAAACACAAAGTGCAAAAATGGCATTTGGACGTTCACAAGAACAGAATTGTGCTCATATTTAGGAACAAAATCATCATCTGTCACCATCGTATTCAAATCAGCAATCGTCATCTACAAGAAAAGATCAATTATCAAAAGCATCTGTCATCATCAATACAAAGCCATCAGCCGTATAATCACAACAAGGACACACAGAGAACAGAGCTTTATATTTCTGGGTAGAAACAAACATTAAAACTACAGTTGTGTTTACTGCAGAGTTCTCACACCTCTCTGTGTGTGTTTCACTGGGTGGGAGCGGGTGAACACACACACACACACACACACACACACACACACACACACACACTACTGACAAATTGTGGGCTTCTCTCTTTTGTTTTTTTGCATGACCAGAAACTATGCACACACACACACACACACACACACACACACACACACTGAGCTGCAGCCCCCCTCGCTCTCCTGCCAATGCCCTGCTGGTTAGATATTGTTAGGATTCCATTTGCCATTTACATTTTCTCTGCTTGACATAATTGAGGAATGGATGCTCTTATGAAAATTAAACTCCCAGTCCTCCTGGGTTACTGTAACCCTGTTAAAATGTAATGAGATTCTTTATGCGTCGTCTTGTGATTTTTTTATTAAATAGAATATCAGTATGACTAATTCCCCGGGCCCAAATGTGGACTGGGACACCGCATTATTGATAGGCCAGTGCATAAGTGGTCTCTCTTGGCCTGCCTCTAATGGCCTAATAATGCATTATACCAGTATCAGTGGGCCTGTGGCTTGCAGTGCTTATTGTCGTTATTGAAAACACCTGGGCGGACCATTCATCAAGGTTAAATCACCAGGGCCCATCCGTTCATTAGGCTGTCAGTAAACATCTTTATTTAGTTTCGGCTGCCGATACTGACAGAATAGAGGCACGAGGAGCCCTGACGAGCAGCTGCGGCCCCTGAGCGTCCAGGAAGACATGAGGACACGAAGCCACGAAGCTGCCCGTGGCGAGGCTCCCAGCCCGCGGTTGGTCCACGACCGCCGGACCGAGCCTCCCCTGTCAATTGGACGGATGATAGAGCGGAACGGATTAGGTTGGCCGTTCCCGGAATGGAGGCAATTTTACGATAGCTGTGCATTCGCTGTGCATATTTATCTTCTCTGATGATTGTTTTGAGTGTAAGCAGAGGGAGAGGCTGAAAAACTGTCGGGCAATCTCAGAGAATTTGGAGGCTTTTTCTCCTCGTGACGGATGGCTGAGGGCCCTAACGAAGAAAGATTGGCCGGGCGGAGGAGCCAGTGGAGAAATGATTAACCTCATTGACTCCCATCTTTACTTAAAGAGCAACTTGACAAATCATCACTGCACAGGCTGTAGGCAGCAGTATTAACATATTCATATGGATACTAATTCAACACACATATGACTTCTACACCTGACAAAGTACAATTCAATTAAAATGAAAAAGTGACACTTGAAAAAAGTCTGATTAATCATCCAAAACACAGATTGTTTGTGAGCATATTCATGTTTTAATTAGTTTGGATTAATCAATATATACTCAGTAAAGTTTGAGATTTATATTAGGGTCATATCCATGTCTGTTATATATAAAATGTGTTTCTGTCAGCACTTTACAACCCATTCATTGGATTGACCTTCATTTGACACACAAACATGTCATTTTGATGAATCTAGATATCAGCAATATTGAAAGAAAATACTCAAAAGTTTTTAAACTTAGTAACCTTTAAATAGGAATCTAAAATTTAAATATAAAGTACATAGAAAATATTTACATTATACATATTTCCATGTTTTAACCACAGTCCAGCAAGCCTTGCTTTACTTTAATTAATTAACATTTGTGATATAAACCTTTGAGCTGACACTAAATAATAAAACATCATTACACTCTAATAAGACCTAAGACTCATTTGTTTTATCCCTGGCCCAAACATGGATAAATAATTCATTGTCCACTCATAATTAATTTCTTTACAGCCTCTGTGTGTGTGTAGCAGAATTGGACAATTTAATGAATAAATTAGGCAGGTTTGAGAGAATAAGTGACGTCTACTGCTGTGTGCTGTAACACAAATGGGACCTAATACGGTTGACCATGACATTAACGATTAATTCAGAGAAAATTGCAACAAATTAAGCAGATGAGATAAAGTTTAAGGCCTTAATTTTGATAAAAAAAAGAGAGAACAGAACCCAGACTCTGCTTTATTGGTTTGGATTCTAATCTGGAAAATGGGCTAAAAATCAAATGCTGCCATCACTGGCTTTTAGCTGGTTCAAAATAAATGATGAGGGGGACTTCTGAGTCAGTCGGAATGAAGATTACAAAAGCATGGTGGTAAAGAATTTGCTGACTTGATGTCCAGTGAAACAAATGATGTGTTGGTTCATCAGTTTATCACCGACTCGGCAAAATGCAGATATTTTTTATGGGAATGTCTTTTTTTTCTTCACGTCTTAATCACTCCTTTCTTTAACAAATCATCTCAAGCTGGACATGTTTTATCTGCACAGTGCAACATGAAACCCAGGCTTTTAAAAATGTATTATTTATTCACCAGCCCCTCCAGGTAGCTGAATTAATGTAAATGTAACTAATCTCTGTGAATTATCTGTGTTTTTGTTCAATTACTACAACTTTTCTGCTAATTTGACCAATCATTGTATGCAAAATGAACCATACATCAGCAATCTCACTTCCTTGTTTCCTCCCGCAATTTCATTGTAAAAGAATAACTAACAACATGCAAAAAAATACTTTTTTCAAAAAGCTGCTGGGAAATCAGGCATTTTTACCCCAAAAATAAAAAACAAAAAAAACCCCTGTGAATCCTGGAGGGACTGATTTATATATTTGATCTGCCGACCTCTACCTCTGCCTTTCCCTGAGATAGACTTACAGTAAGAGGTCACACCAGATTTGGATTGACAAACAAGACAATTCTCATTTGAATGAATTTGAACCCTGTGTCATTTGAGCAGTTGGCTACATGCTTTTTGCCTCAAACAGCCACTGCAGATATTAGCTGTAAATTAAAGAAACAGATGCAAAGATGATGTGTATGGGAGTGTGTGTGAGTCTCTGACTGACCTCAGATCTCACCACAAAGTTCAGTTCTTTCTGTCTTTTCCATCGAGTTTCTCTTGTTTTGCCTCGTCTCTTTATGAAGCAGTTTCATAAAACCCTGAGTTAAGAGTGAATTTTTTTCAACTTGTTTAGACTTGTTTGTCATTGCCTTAATTTCTGCCGCAAATTAGCATCTAATCACATCAATACGTGTCTTTCCAGTTTTTATGCAATCGTGCCACCTCTAAAATTGTCTTCCCACTCATGTCTTCACATACATTACAGTTTTTTCAGAGGAAGTGGGGAAATAAAAGGCCCACTGTGTCAGTGTAAGAATGGCTCATGGTGGAAAAAAGACTGGAAACCTCTGCTCTAAACATCAAAAGTATTACTTCAGTGGCATTTCCCTTCATATTCTCATTACATGATGAGCAGTAGACACACATGCAGTTTGAACACAGTTTAAAAAAGTCTATAAATGTGAATAAAAAAGCATGCTCAACATGTTACTGTGATATATATAGTTTATATTTATTTTTTTGATGAAGTTGTGGCGATAAACGGACAGAACTGGAACGGTCAGCAGATATTCACACACACACACACACACACACACACACACACACACACACACCCTCTGGCACACTTGGACGAGACACCACATGTGAAACGGGCGGCCGGCGGTGTTGATGAATTAATGTGGCGGGCAGCTCTTCTCCTGCCAGCTCGGGACACACAGCTCGGATTCATGGGAACCAAAAGTTCCAGGGAACAATATATCTCTCAGAGACCGAGGGCAGGGGGGCGTTAAGGAGCCGCGCACGTCTGTCACTGAGCTGGCCGGGCCCCGGGGCCTCAGACCAAACACAAACAAGCTGCAACCTGGGGAATTCAGATACACACTTTGATGCACACACAGTCACGATAAGCGTCTCACACACACAACTCAGACTTATAACAATATTCAACTTAATGTCTCATACAGGATATGGGCTGGAAGGTGTTTATATGGAGCAAAATCACAGAGTAATCCTTGTATTACTCAGTCTTTGAGAAGTTTGCTGTATATCTCCAGAAATCATTTGAGATTTAATGTGATAAAAGTGAAATTTGATAAATTTAAAGAAAAATAGTTTAAAAATATCTTAAAAATTAAGGCCAAAAGTATGTCACATCTTGTTTATCTAGAAGCCAAAGACCTTTAGTCGCGCAGCTGAAAGCTGGTGTTCTTCCACTGAGGTTGGCAAATTTAGAAAAATTCAGGAAGGAAAATGTATTTGGGTGATAATTTGGGAGGAGTGGAAAGTAAGTAATTTCTTTTTGTATTGTGCAAATGTTGGTTTAAGAATTTTACATAACCCTGAAATATTCTGGTGTCCTGAACAGTAGATTAAATAATATTAATAATAATATTAATAATATTTACTCTCCTTTCAACTCTATTTCTGTCAGCAGGTTAGAAGTGTAAAGACGGTTTTTAGAGCCAGAAATGATCTTGTGAGAGCGCTGAGAGTGAACCAAAAACAGTTACGAGCCTGACAAACAAAACAATGAGCTGAAAGAGGCTAAAATGCTCTGTAGAGCTGAATTGAGCTGTACATTTGGGTGATAATTCTTCATAGGTTGTCATTAAAACAACCCCTTTCACATACAAGCTTGTAAAAACATTTTTTTTTTTTTATTACACTTTAAATTGGCTAACTTTGTCCAAAAAACAAAGTAAATGGAATATTTAATCAGATGCTTCTACTATACAGTAACAGTACATTTTATCTGTGATTTATGAATTTTGTGCTGACATGAAGGTCTCATAAAATTGTATAAATTGGTTTATTATTTGGGTTTTTTGTACGCAATACATTTTCTCGTAAGCCAATGTATGACACAATAATAAAACCTTTATCTAATCATTCATATGGGCACAAATTAACACACATATAAATATCTATGTTATATTTTGATATAAAATTAGGTACAAATTATATACATAAATATGCACTTATTTGCATTTACACACACACAATTTGAAGGTAGAGGATGTTCGTGTACATTAGACTGGGGAATAAAGGGTGGACTCCTGTGACATATCTTCTTAAAACGTATCAGTCTGCTTCAGTCTGTCTGTTGTTGTCAAGTGTCCAATGATAATTGAACTGAACAAGGCCAGCTTTATTTCTTTGTACCACAAACCTGAAAAAAAGAGCAGCTAAAGTTAAAAACTTCATTGCAAAAAGTTGTCAAAAATGCAAAGTTTGTCAAAAATATTTCCTGGTTATGGATCAATTCAGCATTTAGAGTCTGTTTGACTCATCACGTTATTCTCTTCATCTTTCATTTAACTCTTTATTTTGATGTCATCCAAAAGTGTGCACTACGAAGCCAAAAACATGTTCATTTTAAAACCAGAGTTGTTTACCCTGAATGGGGGATACAGTGGGAACTGATTGTGTTCTTCCTCCACTGACCTCCAGGGGGAGATAACAGCATGAAAAGCATCCTGACCTTGGACACAATCAGGACAAAGTGCTGCACACTGTGGAAGAAATCACTTTTGAGCTCTGGAAAACATGAAGACAAAAGACTTCAGAGACAGAAACATGATGAACATATTTATTTTCTATGCTCCTAATAACACATTTCTCTAATTGTATGTCCTTAATTAGCTATTTTTCACACCTTGATGAAAGGAAACAGAAATTCTGGTGCCTTATAAGTAGTAGTAAAATAAACATTTCTTAAACGAAAAGAAAATACATTTTGAATTTAAACAAACATAAAAGAAATAAATGGAAATAATAATATAGCTTAATAATTACTTAAGCTATATGCAATTTTCTGTCTCTATCGCCACTTATATGCATCAGTCCATGTATTTTAGCCACACTCTCACCTGCAGTTGGCATTAAACTGACTAAAACATACTTTCAGAGCGGTGCCAACACACTTTCCAAGCGTCTGGAGACAGACACGAACAATTAAAAGCTGTTAAGTGACCTTGTTTGGCAGCAGCAGCACACGGCACAGCAGCGACAGCAGCAGCTCTCCTGGCAGAGCGAGAGTGAAGCCTTCTCGACAGCGTTCGTCATCCCAGCCCGGGCCCCCGAGAACTTCTGAATGAGTAAAATGATTTGATTATGTTGAGGCTAATGACGAGGGGCATACTTAAATCCATCTCCACGGTTTTCTTTGCTTCTGCCCCTGATTCAGCGCGCTGTCAGCAGCTTGTTAGACGGGTTTTTACTGCAGTACTTCAGCTCACTGCCTCATCAGATGAATACTGAGAGAGAGAGAGAGAGAGAGAGAGAGAACAGAGAGGTAGAATAACAAAGGGAAGAAGAAAAAGGTTTGACCCACATAGTCTGGAATCTGAAGCTAATTAACATGTCTCAAAGTTGTCACTGAAAAGTTTCGGGCGGTGTGGAGGATAAAGTATTAGGCTTAGCTTTCGGTTAATTTATTTTCATTCAATCAAAATTATCAATGAAACTGACATACGGCATCTTTCATGAGGTGCAGTTCAAAATGCTTTATAGACGACTGACAAGCTGATAACAAGACAATGCAGATGTAAACAGTAAAACCATTTTTGACTAATGCACTGCAGAATATGAGTTACAGTAGCTATAACTGTACTGAAGTAAAGTGTGTTATATATTATTAGATTGTTACTGATGCATTAATGTGTGTGCTGCATTTTACTGTTGTTGCTATTATGAAACAGTCGACACCATCAGAGAGAAGCTGTTTCTACATACTCATTCTTAATGACCGCCACCGGATTTGGTCAGATTCCCCTTGAAATCAATGAAACGAAGCAGTGGAAACAATACCACTTTTGTGCACAGGGGCCGGGTTCTTTGTTGCTCCTTTAATTAGTAAATAATCTCTATAGCTGTTATATAAAAGTAATGGAGTAAAAAGAACAATATTTGCCTCTGAGATGTTAAGTATAAAGTTGCATAAAATAGAGTGAAAAGCACAATTTACTTTCCACCACTGTAGTCTATACGATTGCTGTACCTCATTACAACCATTCCAACTATCCATGTATATGTGTGTTTAACTTGTAAACTGTTAAATCACAAAATTCACAGTGTAGAAACAACGATTTTGCTGTTTTACAGAGAATATGTATTTCTTGGCCGGGACCAAGTAACTTCCTGGAGTCTTCGGGTTGCTGGGCAACTCGTCCCGATTTGATTAAATATTTTAAAAAGTCAACAGCGACTTGTCGTGTGCTCGGGCACCGAGAGTCCATGTGTTAAAGTTGACTGTCAGGACAAACCACTTTTACTCAGACAAAAACATCAAGACGCTCCCATAACAATGTTAATTTGTGTCCCTGCTGCTGCAGAAGTCAATACAGACCATATGGAGACATAAAGTCACTTCTCCTGTAATTGACAGAATTTTAATACCAGGAACCCAAACTCAACAATCAGCAGCAGGCCGAGCTCGTCCCACCCTGCACTTTAACTGACATATCGAAGCAGTCGAACAAAGCCTGTGACTGACAGACAGTGACCTCTCCTTCCTGCCCGTCAACACAACAAAGACGTTCGCTGTCCATTTACAGACAGCTGCCGCGCTGCACGCGGTGCGAGGCCGAAATCAAACGAATTACTGTAAAGAAAGGAAAATCACGTTAGGGACGAGAGTGGAAGTGAAGAGGAATCGCGGCCTGTTGTTCTAATATTAGCGATGCTATTGTTGTAGGTAAAGCCGGGCCTGCTGGGAGCTCTGTGAATGGTCGTAATCCACAAGCATGTCGTGTCATTGTGATTACATTTTGTACTCGGGACAATGTTCAGAATAATTTGTGTGTGTTTTTTTTGTTGTGTGCCCGTTTCCCCAGATACATTAGGTCCAATCAGAGGACGTCGGTTGTCTTGTTACTGTCTCATCTACTGCTGTGTGTGTTTACGTGTGTGTGTAACAGGATTAGATCAACGTATTGGGAAGATATTGCTTTAGCTTTTATTTAATATCAGATATCAGTCAGTCGCTGTCATAACTTTTAACATGATGAGGGGGAAAATTGACAACATTTTGATGAAAGCAGCCTGTAAAGACTATAAATATGGGGTTTTAAAAAAAATTTCTATTTGGTTATCATTCAAATTTTACCATTATATTTATCATGTTTTGTATCTATGTCACATACAAAACATAACAGAAAAAGCATATATATCCATAAACACATATGTAAAAATACATACACATATATACACTAGTACTAGTTACAGTCAAGAGAACACTTAATACATGACCAGTGTATAAAGTACAGAGCTGCTAACTCAAATAATTGGAATTATTTCTTTTTTTAAGGTTTCTTTTTAGAGAGACTTTTCGGGGTCATGTTGGTGTAAATTATAGAGAACACATCCTAAAGCCAAATTTATGATCAAAATTACTGTATTTTAAATAATAATCACAGTTTTATAAATTGAACAGATTAAATTCTTCCAGCACTAAATGCGGCTTCAGAAATAAACTACAATTTATCACAAACACAGTACAAAAAAATCTGTTAGTCCTCAAAAACCAGAATCAATCAACCCTTCTGCATGTGCCTGCTAATGTGTGTGTGTGTGTGTGTGTGTGTGTGTGTGCTTCCTTGCATCACAACCAGTTAGTCTCTGTGTTATCGTCACTTCCTCGTCCACCGCCGCAGGTCACGCCGGTGAAAAAGACAAAGAGAGCGTACAGAGCGAGATGGAAGAAGAAGAGAGGAAGGAGGGAAAAAAAAGAAACGTTTCACCGCTTTCAAAGAGACTCCATCGGTGAGGAGCAACCCCCCCCTTCCTCCTCCTCCCGCACTCTAATCACATTTCCTTAGAAAACTTTTACTTATGGCTAATGGAATTCGCTTAAAATTGAACCGCTGGGGCGAAAGTAGATTTGCATTGATCCAGATATGTATAGAGCCAAAGTCAGTCTATCTATTCTGTGAGGGAATTAAAGGCCGCTAAGCCTATAGAGCCAGACTGTATAATCCTATGTTAAAAGATCAATACTGGCTGGAACCCACGTGAGCTTCTTTCATTGTGTGTTGTTGTAGTGTGTGTCTGCCTGAATATACCCACTTTATATACAACTGCGTTTTTATCCAGAATGTATATTTTACCTGTAAATCCCTCAGTTTGTGGGAACTGCTCGTCTTTGGCCCCGGTTCACCGTGAAGGCTCTTTTTGGCGGGTTGAAGGGGTGTGGCGGGGGTTTTGCAGTCAGACTGTTAACACCATACAAATAAACTTGGCTTCCCGGCGTTTATTTAGTCTGACACCCATCGTCTAGCGTGCCCTCTGACAGCTTTCACCCCTGGGAAGAGCAGAAGAAGCAGACTGAGTTGGCAGCCAAAGTGTGGTGGGTGCAGCTCTGGCTCAACGAATCCAACTGGATGTGAAATACGCCGATACAGCGCCCGCTTCCTGCGCATTTCAGAGCAACACAAGAAGAAACACCATCTAAACTGCAGCTGCATCATTCAGAAATGATCAAACACATCAAAGAGACAGTAATAATAAAAAAAACAGTATGTTTCACATTTCTTTTTTTTTTTTTAAACTGATCAGCAAACTAAAATCTAGTGATGGGCAATACACTGGATGAACCGGTACGGTTTTAATTTAAGAATTTTCCATATACCGCCGCACAGGTGTTGTTATAGTTAACTAAAATTAAATTAAACTAAAAATTCAAACTAGGTGTGAAACGATTTAAAAATGAATGTAAAAATAAACAGAAAATTAGTTGAAAACTAAAATTGAAAACTAAATAAAAACTGTGCAGAAAACGTTATTCTTTTTTCCTTTCTTGGCATCTTGTGAGTTTATTTAGTTTATTAAAGCTGCTCATCACTCTGCTGCAACTACTGGAGCAGTGATTAGAGGGGGTCCAGCATGTGTGAATATATCGGCAATCACCAATTGTTGGACTAATGGTGGCGATTGGAATATATTTACATATCGGCCAACCCAGTAAAGCTAGAGAGTACAGCCATTTTACTAACGACTAAAACAATTAAGGTTAAGTCGTTTGTGGAGTTTAGAGCCAACTTATTTACAACGTGTATGACAATGTTTCTTGCTTTATCACACTATGACGTTGTAGTTATGTCACTGTAATCTCAACAAATACCTTTATGAGTTATCAAATCTGAAAATTATGAACCAAACTACAAATATTCAGACCCAAGTTGCTATCGTTCTTAAACTGCCAGCCTTCTGTTATATAAAGTCTATTTGCACCATTATTATCTCAGAATAACTTCAGGAAAGTGTTCTTTCTTTGCATGTGCTTAACATGGAGTCAAAGAGGGAGATTAGCTAAGTGGTCTACCTAATCAAATCACAAGGTTTTAACTGGGCGACATTGATCAGCTCAGGAAAATAATTCCTCCTGGCAGTCCATCAATCTCATCCATATTCACTTCCCCCCTCAAACATCTCGACGGTTTCCCCCCGCAAACCCCGAGAATGTGCTAAATGACCTCACACACTGACAGCGTCGCCACGCACACACCCGATAGTGACCTCATTGATGAGCCAAGTCCTGCCAATACTGAAGCATGTGGATACTCACACACACACACACACACACAGACTCATCAGTCAGGAGGTCACAGCGAGCCCATCATCATCACACCGGCTGGAATGGGCAGCGGCAGCAGCGCAGCAATGACATTGCCGAATCTGATGACTAAGAAAATCCAAATATGAGATTAGTTCCTCTGACTACCCTGCTCCTAAGTGCCACTCCACACAAATGGGGCCCTAAGAAGATAATAACCGTACAATTGCTTTTATAGGGATGGAGTTATTCAATTATAAGCCCTTGGAGTGAAATGTTGCTATAACTGTACCACAGCCATACATGGCTGGGAGAGCTGAGGGCGAAGTTTGTACGAAGAGGAAAAGAAATATGTTTGAAAAGTGTGTGAACAAAGGTGATAGTGAATGAGCAAATCTTTTTTTATTCTTAGCTTTTTAAATTCTACCTGTATTTTTCCCACATTTTCTTTCGACAGATGCTTCAACTCCTGACCTGGAAGCTGCCCAGTACAGCTGAAGTCTGGTCTGCTGGCCACAAACCAGCTTAGAGGTTAAGTACCTGGTCAAGAGCACCTTAGTGGTTGTAACGATGGAGGAAAAAGTTTTGTTCTTTCATTTTCCAGCAGTCTAATTAATCAGCAACTCTTGGGCATGTTTGTAGGTGTGTTTTGGGAATAAAAAAAAAAAAAGACAATTAAACTTGTTGTTCTG